ATCCTTGAGGTCCCTTCCAAACTGGTATTCTATGATCCTATGAATTGAGAAATTAAATTAGCTGCTGTTTGCTTACAGCTGAGGATAAATGAAGATTTGCTGCCACCTATATGTATATTGCTTTTTTTTTTTTTCTGGATTAATTAAAAATAAAGGAATTCTTAAAAAAAAAGAGGCATATAGGTTGCATTCACAATTACATCTGAGTAGGCATGCAAGCTCTACAACATATTATACTTTCTTTATGGAATAACTCCCAGTGACATGGAAAAGAATACAATCATGACACAGAGACCTATCTGACCCAACAGAACAAAAATTTCCGTTCCCGCTGTAATACAAGGAAGAAAATAATTCTTTTGTTCTAATTCTTTGTGATCGTTATGCTACCTTTTCTAAGGAAGAATTCAGACATCATATTGCCAGGTTACTATGTAGATAAATGAAGATGCAGGTGAACAAATTGTTCTTCACCTCTTTCTGCGATTAAAGGAATGTGGTGCATTCATTATGTAATGACAATGTCAGCAAGGGGATCAACATTAAGTCCAGAGTATACTGAAAAAATAACTATTAAAAGTCAGTATTTTATTACAGTTACGAGCAATTAGGCAATAACTGCCGTTAAGCACTGGCCTTTTAAACCATCACTAGAGTTACCTGAATTTGAAAGCAGACACTCTCAGCAGTAGCAGTTCAATAAACAAGCAAAGCCTGAATCTATATCATTAGTCTCCAACTGATTGATTCACTTACTTGATTCCATTTCCCTCTAAAGAAACAAGGAATTGCAGCAATAGCAATGCAAATAAATGAATTTGCATTTTTTTTCCTATCTGTGGTGGATGTGTTGGTGGATTTGGAAAACAGTGTTTACTCCTGAATTACAGAGCCCTCTTTGCCAGTAAGCATTTAATTTGGGTCATCACGGAAATCCACATGCCTCCTCACTGTCAGGATAGCTAAATGAATCATAGAATGGTTTGGACCTTAAAGATCTTCTAGTTCCAACCCCCTGCCATGGGCAGGGACACCCTCCACTAGCCCAGGTTGCCCAAAGCCCCATCCAACCTGGCCTTGAACACTTCCAGGGATGGGGCAGCCACAGCTTCTCTGGGCAACTTGTTCCAGTGCCTCACCACCCTCACAGGGAAAAATTTCTTCCTAGTATCTAATCCCAATCTATCCTCCTTCAACCTAAGGCCATTATCCCTTGTTGCATCACTACATGCCCTTGTAAACCGTCCCCGTCCAGCTCTATTGAACAAAGACAGAATCTCCAATTCTTAATGAAGACAAACTTTTATGTGAAATATGGTACTCAGAGGTCTAATTTCATGTTGATACTATAAGATTGAAACATCAAGTCACAAACCTGGCCTCTTGACACAGTTATCCCGCTGCACATACTTCATGCAGCAGGATCATTTATTTCGTTAAAATGTATGAGTCAAAATACTGTGGATCTGTATTTTCGCAGGATATTTTTATAGCTGGGTAATTCTGCCCACTCAGTTTGTAAGCATTTATTTGATAACATTCAGCTTGTCTTTTGATGCATGGCAGTGGTTTTGCTTCATTTTTTTTCTCATATGTAGACAAAGGATGCCTGCAGCCTATATGCAACAATAGCATTTTTTGTATATGAGAAAAGAGAATGAAAAGGTACAGCAAACGGAAGGAAAAAGAAGATTTGTATGTCTTTAGTTTTCTATGGGAAATGAAAACAGAATTGCAGATGCCTGTGAATGAACTATCTGTGGTTAATAGTACATAAATTTTCAGCTATTCACTTAAATACTCAGATTAGCATTTATGTCAGAGGTATCATGTACCAGTAACAGAGAATGGGAGAGGACCCAGACAAATATCCGCTCCTACATTGTAATTTTTCACGCCTCAAAATGTTCAAGCACTCTGGCCAAATCCTGAAAGGCTCTAAAACACTGCAGGATTTCGCCAAAGGGGTATAAAAGTGTTGCAAGAGCCAGGCCTTTATATTGAATTGTCGATGTTATTTGGAGTCTTACTTCCACTCTCTGCTACTTCCACTTAACTTCAGGAGTATCAGCAGTCCTGCTGAGTTCAGTGAGAGTTTTCAGGAGCTCAGAGCTCAGCATGAATTCAAATGCTCTACTGGCTTCAACTCAAATCATCTGGCAGGAACGTCCCCGTTTTGCTTTGGAAAGAGATTACATGAACTCTGCTTAGGAAAGAGCTCCCTCTTCTGTTCTTGCTGAAACAAAACCAGTCCTCTGAAGAAAGGAAACTATTTCAAACCACTTACTACAGCAATGGAGCACAGTACCGCAGTACATTGCCCAAAACGGTGCACTAGGGCAGTCCCCTTTCAGTCCAGCTTTTCCTTTTCTGCTCACTCCACAATTACTGCATAAGGTTAGGAAGTGTCTGCATGTCCAACTACAGCTGAATGAAGTTAGTACAAGAGATTTCTTGGTCAGTCTTCCCAAAAAATTTTATCCAATCCAATATGCCTTTGGCACTCATAAATAATGTACTATATATTCATTATCAAATATCAGGAATACACTTCTTTTCTCAACTTTGTCGGGGAGCTGTCAAAGCCCATTGGAGCTGAATTCCCTACTTCAATTAATGCTGAGCATGAAGTCATAAACCATCCTTAAACTGGAAAGGATGAAGTGATGGGTTAGCACTACCTTATACGCTCTGTCAAGTTGTATGAAAGCGTTGTACGGAGTCAGACCCTGTTGCTTCGGCTTCCTCAGTGACTTACGAGCTGGCTTTCTGCATTCACATGAAGTCATACAAGACTTACTAAATGCTTCTGGAAGCAGAATATCAAAGGTAGCTCCGCAAGCACCAGTTCCAGTTCAGCAACAGTTGGGACTTGTATTGTCTGGGTTTGGCTGTTATCTGACATAGCTCAGCTTTCCAATACAGTACATAATGGAGAACTGACCTCTTGTAGATTTTAAAACTTAAGAGTGTATTCCTTTGGCCCGTTAATAATCTTTTACAAATAAAGTTAGCTAACACAGGTAAATAGCTGCATAATGCTGGTGGCTATATTTAGCTGCTTTTTGGTTACAGACAGGAAGTAAGTGCCACTCTTGGCCCACTTACAGCTCAAGTAGATCCCATAGCCCCTAACATAAATGTGGAGAGGCCTAATATATTATTGCTTCCTCATGATCTCAACAGGGCCTCAACACACTGTGTCTCAAGATTTATACGAAATTAAATAGGAAAACAAAATAATAATAATAATTTAAAAACAGCTGTGGTTGCTGCTTTAGCATATTAAAGAGGTTTTTCAAAACAACAGACCCAGCTGCTGTTAAATTTAGTAAATCAGAAATACTACTTTATGGCCCACAGAGGGGATAATGGCATGTGTCTTAGTGTATGGAGCAGCAGGTGATACAAACTTGAAAATATTTCTACCAATTATAAGTCACGCTCACCTCTAGCACTGGGAACGCACCACAAGACCAACACTCAGGGCGCCTGAGCCCTGCGTATGACTTTACTATTGATATGTTGTGCGACCTGTAGCATACAGGTTTCTCTCTACCTGCTTCAGTTTTCCCACCTGTAGTACTGGCAGAGTGATACTCACCCTCTGCTTAAAGTTGTTTGAGAGCTGCTGCTGAGAAGTGCTAGATAATGAGGCAGCAGGTTTTATCATGCAGATTTTATATATGCACAGAAAGGGTCCTGCATTGCTCAAACCTAGAGCATCTTTGGAATCCCAGACTGGTTAAACTCTATGGGTGACTCAACCTGAAGCATTTCAAAACCCAACCCAAGTCACAGCCCCACTACGAAACCTGCTTTGAGATGTGGCAGGCTGGGTCCTACTGCTTTAGCAACCCCCAAATAAACAAAATGCCATGCCTCCCACTCTTCTCAAATTCTGCACAGAAAAAAAAACAAAACCTAAAACAAACAAACAAAAAAAGATCAATTAAGAGTATAAGACAGAGAAAAGCCAAAAATACATATTTGGAGCTCAGAGAAGGAGCCTCTTCTAAACCTTCTGTATCAATGTGAAGGAATGCAGCACAATAAAAAAAAAAAAAAAAAAAAGCTAAGCTAACTTTTGAGTAAAATACTTTGAGACACAGAAGCTGTGTGGCATCATGATGTGTGGGGACGCTAATTTGGCTTAATCTAAATACTGCAATGACACATGCTATCCTGCTTCAAAGACATACCACAATGTCTCTACATGGTAGAGCTCTGTGCTGGTAGTTAAACCAGCCTGTTTGGGCCTGGCTTGGGTATCTTGGCACAGCACTGCAGTGAACCACGTGGATGTACATATGCACTTGACAGGTATTCCTTGATTTTATTCTCTGAGGTTTTCTGGATATACTACTGCAATATTTAGAGGGAATGAACACTAATTCCTAAGGAGAAAGCAATGTCTGCAGATGACCTCTACAGGTGGGAGTCACCTGTGCTGCTTAGACGTCTGAATAGTAGAAGTCTGACCTAGTAACCAGCTCCCTTTTGAGGCAGCAAAGAGAAAACAGCACCTCTAGGGTCTCTCCACTGACCAAGAAAGGAGTGGTTTGGGATGTCAGAAGTTACGAAGTTAAATCTTAAAACATCTCTGACCTTTAGTATCTTCACCTCTTCCAGCTACTTCCACTCAATGAAATCAGAAGTTGTATCTCAGTCACTCTTAGTTCTTCATCAGATTTCCTCACCATTTTAGTATAATATTCTTACAAATATTCTTACCTGTGGCCTGACAACCGAATCTCATTTTTCTTGAGGGACCTTTCTCTCTTCTCTCTTCCAGCCCCGGAATGTCTGTGGGAGGCACTCACTTTAAGGCCTTTCTCATTGCTGTCTGTATCAAAGCTTGGAACTGATTTTTTTTCTTCTGTCTTGGTCCTCTCTCTTTCAGACAGCAGTTTGGCAAGAAAGTCATCTTTATCTTTGGGGATGCTTCTTAGTTTTTCAGAGGCTGAACTCACATGTGAGCTTGATATAGTCTTTGATGCAAACTCCATATTGACTTTACTTTCTTGAAAATCAGCACTTGGGAAACTCAGATCATTTTCTTCATGTTCTTCACTCTTCAACTGTGCTGTGCTGCTTATGCTAGTGGATCGTTTTGAAAGCCTCCTTTTTTGCAGAGCCTAGAAATAAGTGCCATTAAAACCATAGATGAAAATTTGAGCATCTTTAAATAAACATGAAAAGCAAAGGAAAGGTCTATCACTAATTTCTGGGTTAAGCAATTGCTTAATTATTAGGAATCAGGTTAAATAGTGCATCAGATTATTTTTTTTTAAAGATAAATAAGAACATACACTTTCACTTAAAATTTGAACAGTATTTAAAGATGATGTATACCTTTAAAAACTGCTTTCTTTTACCCAAGATCATCAACAAAATACCTTCTAAGAGCTTAATTCTGGGGTTGTACCCAACTCAGAGGAAACCAAGACATATAAGACATTTTACTGGAAAGACTGCCCACTACAGGTACCTCATCTTTATTTCCAAATCAGAGATATTTAGAAAAATCCAAATAATTCATTTAACTTCCATATTCTCCTCAGTATTATCTAAATGATACATTTTTATAAATCTCAATTTCTCATTACTACAAGCCTAATTTTACACAGGGAAAGTTCATCTCTATATAAAAGCAGAAAGGAAAAAAAAAAAGGCGAGAATTTTACAATTGTGTTTTGAAAACACTTACTGATGGAATTTGGTCTGATTGCACCAATTTAGAAACACATTTCTAACTCAAAGTAATTTTCAATTCCAAATTGCTACAGATTAAATGTGGGGTTTCAGATAAACCTGAGTGAAACAGTTACTTGTGGCTAAGAAAACTCTGAAAGCTGTAGATATTGCTAAGATAAAAAAGTTTTCCCAGGAAAATGGAAAATCCCATCTGTCAAGAGGTAAGAGATAGCGAGAGATATAAAGAAATCCTGTAACCTAAGATCACAGACCCGCAGGCGGTAGTTGCACATAGTAGTTGTATCTGAAACAGTTTTTATTGCTGAATTAAATCATGTATTTTCAGACTGCAGATTTAATGGATTAGCATGCAGGAGTCACTTTAGTATTTTTTGCAAATGACTTTCGTAGAATCATAGAATCATATGATTTTATTGGTAGATAAAAAATTGAAATATTTTGGATGGCCAAGCCAAATATTTTTTAAGGGTTGGAAATTACCTCTGGTGAACTTGCTACTGGTCCAGCCATCATTCCTCTGACAATGAGACCAGACCTAGGTCTTGGCTTTTCCTTCACTGTGGATTTGAGCTCCTCAGAAATCACTGCTGCTTTTAAATCTTCTCGACTATCTCTTAACTTCTTATCCCCATCAGAGGGTAAGTGGTTATTGTGTATCGTTCCTGTGTGGCATTTTTCACTTTTGTGCTGATGTTTTCTGGATGGAAGGATTTTATCTAGTGGATTCTCAACATCATATCTAGAAAAAAGAAAAAGGTAAAACTTCAAACAGCAAAATAATACACAAAGAAATAAACGAAAACATCTGCTTGTCAAATTAAGTTACTTATTATCTAGCAATGGTACTCAAATACTATCACTTGTCACTTAAACATCTATACGTTGGTCTTCAGGACGTTATTTCAATTGTAACACTTTAATCTTAAGCTTACTTATTTTGATATGTACCATATCATAACAGAAAGCAAACTATATATATCATACCAGACAGGTCGTACGCTACCACCAGCAGTTCCCATTCCTTCTCCATCTGCTTGGCTGGCAGTTTGAAAATTTGTTAACACTCTTGCTAACATCCTCTGTTATCATGTAACTTAGACTGACTCTACTGACCCTTTTCACTCTTTGTTCAAATGTAGAATACTTAGTTTATTTCAGAAATAATGGTACTTTTGTATTTGGGCTTTTCCTTGATAATAGGTTGCTACATTGCTGTCATTTGACCTTCTCCATATTCTTTAGCCTGGTACTCCAGCTAGCAACACAAGGTGTAGTTTGCTGTTTGCATCTGTTTTCCTGTGCATATATAACGCTATAAACAAGCTTTTCTGAAATGCAAGTGAGATTCACCTGGATCTCTGACTCCATTTGTACAACAACAGGATGTGCATTTCTTTCTCAAAAATATATTTTAACAAATCAAGTTCTCACTAAAAATATGTATATGATTTGTGCCTTGTAAACACATTCTGTAAGATATTATGATGAGTTCAATTTTCTTCTGATCTGTTTCACTGGCTGCAAAACATTAGATCACTGTTAAATGGAAGTTCCCACTTCACGGAGACCTCTTTGTGTCTGTTGATAAATTTATATTCTGTGTAACTGAAAACACTAGCTTTCTTTATGATAATTGTCCTTGAACTTGTTTTTCACTTTAGCATGGTTTTCTCCATCCTATTTCATTGTAAAGCAATTCCATGAGTTGAAGCATTGTTTACCACAAAAACATTCCTTTTATTTCACCAGTTAAAAATGGCTTTTTGAAGTAGTGTCTGGTGTTGTGAAGACACACTGCAGATGTCAGCTGAAGGGAGCGCGATCAGTCTCTGGGAGAATTTGGAAATCTGAAATTACTGCTGACCTTGGACCCGGTAACCCCTCGCTGCCAAAGGGCACCGTGTGTCAGATCAGAGACTGTTTTAACAGTTACACACATTGAAAAACACTTCAAGAGATTAGTTAAAAGGAAAGACGACTCTTTAATAAGGAACCAGTGAAGAGTACCTGTCTAATTAATACTCTCCGCTCCTGAAAGCATTGTTAAAAATTATCCAGGTAGTTGAAATTAAAACTAATTTCAGGCACTGGCTGGTTGACCTGGTAATGCCTGACTTTTCCTTGGCGAGAGGGGATGGAAATGGCTCGTTGTGCTTCTGCCAGAGCGTTTCTCTCACCGGTTCATTTTGTGGGCTGCAGTCGGAGGTGGCTGAGCCATCGCAGCAACCTGCCCACGACAGTCCGGGTTAGGGCAGCTCCTCCTGCGGCCATGCTGCCGAAACACTGGGACAAGACCTGATCCGAGGGAAAAATGAAACTACTCATCCAGGAGTGCCTACCTGTGTCCGAGGGTCAGATTCTCAGCTGGTTTTGAATGAAAATTCAGTTACAAATACTGATTTGTATCAGGACAGGCCCCAAAACCCAGAGACCCCTGTCACACCCAGTCAACCCACTTTTCCTTCCCCACACCTCCAGCCAACTTCAGCCTCCCCCACCTCGGGATGGCATAACTACTGAGTTTGGTGCACGTGAAGGCATGGAAACCTGTAAAAATCACAGGATTTAGATGGAAAACATGTAAGTCAAGACAGGATTTTGCTCTCTTCAGAGCTGGCAGCTTTCAGTGGGTGGCTGGGTAATGTTTCCAAGCTCATACACACAAAAGGTTGGGTATTTCTGGTTTTTGCTTTCTGATTTTCCTTTAATCTGCCATTTTTCGCTCCCCTCAGCCTCACTGGCTGGAGCAGCGAAGGGGAATACTTCACCCTTTGAGGGACGGTGCCCGCGCCATTCTGGCCAGGGGCCCTTCCTCACAGCACCGCAACACCCCCCACCCTCCCCTGTCAAATACACGTTGCTTCTGCGTGTGGGGCTTTACTTTGCTCCTCTGCATTTGTATGTTCATGTATGTGTGTACAACGAGCGTGTACGCGTCCGTGTGTGTCTGGGTGGGGGTGTGTGTGTCAACATACACATAGCGCATATCTTTCCCTCCAGTGGGGGACTAAAACCATAGAGTACCCTCCAAAGTAAAGCAGAGCGGCCCCATAACGCTCCACTTCCTGAACAACGGCGGCCACTCTAGGCCAGCAGCCGAGCACCCTCTTTTCGGTTTCC